TTGTGAGAGTTTTATTCCTGAGTGTTTAAGTGTTTTCATACACTTTAAGGGAGGTTGTTCCCTTGTTGTAAACTCGAAGGAAATTACTTGTTCCTTCGTGAGAAGTCTTGGAGTGCGGTATCTCCGAGCAAAGGTGCTCGTGTGACTCAGGTTCTCAAGTTGTATCGGTTTGTTAAGCACCCTTAAGCTTAACGGAGTTAGTGTAGCTCGAGAGAGTCTCTCGGGAGGCTGGATTAGCCACACGTTGTGGTGAACCAGGATAAAATCCGGTGTGCTCCTTCCTTACGCTCTATACTTTAACGCTCTCGTTTTAATTTCCTGCGATTTTGTTTTAAACGCTATTCACCCCTCCTCTAGCGTTGGGCCTTTATTCTAACAATTGGTATCGGAGCCTTACTCTCTGAAAGACTTAACCGTTTGAGAGAAACAATCAATGGCTTCTACTCAAAACTTATACGCAGGTTTAGGAGAAGGGCAATCCACCACGAGGTCTCCATTATTTGATGGAACAAATTACACATATTGGAAGGAGCGAATGAGAATTTTCATCCAATCCAACAACTTTCTCCTATGGAGAATTATTAAGAATGGGGAAGAAGTACCCATGAAGAAAGTTGGGGAAACCACCGTTCCCAAAACCGAAGATGAATACGATGCGCAGGATATCAAGAAAATAGAGAACAACGCCAAGGCGATCAACATTCTTTATTGTGCAGTAAACCCGGATGACTACCGAAAGATCTCTTGTTGTTTCACCGCCAAGGAAATGTGGGACAAGCTAGAAATCACATATGAAGGTACGGATCAAGTCCGAGAAGCTAAGATAGATTTTCTAACCCATGAGTATGAACTATTTCATATGAAGGAGAACGAGAAAATCGACGATATGTTTGAACTGTTAGAATAAAGGCCCAACGCTAGAGGAGGGGTGAATAGCGTTTAAAACAAAATCGCAGGAAATTAAAACGAGAGCGTTAAAGTAAAGAGCGTAAAGAAGGAGCACACCGGATTTTATCCTGGTTCACCACAACGTGTGGCTAATCCAGCCCCCCGAGAGACTCTCTCGAGCTACACTAACTTCGTTAAGCTTAAGGGTGCTTAACAAACCGATACAACTTGAGAACCCGAGTCACACGAGCCTCAACACCTTTGCTCGGAGATACCGCACTCCAAGACTTCTCACAAAGGAACAAGAAACTTCCTTCGAGTTTACAACAAGGGAACAAACTCCCTTAAAGTGTATGAAAACACTTAAACACTCAGGAATGAAACTCTCACAAAGAGTAGATATGAGTGAACTAGTAAACGCTCAAGAACACGACAATTTCTTCAAGAATTGGCTCTCAAATAGCTAAGAAAAATATGAATGATTATGCAATGAAGGAGTATTGAAAATGTTGAAGAATTGTATGTAAAATGAGAGGATTTGGGTGCCATTTAATAGCCCAAAATGGGATAAAACCGTTGCTAGAATATCCAACAGGATGAAGACAAATTTTTCAGAGACACAGGCTGATAGTCGATTGTCAAAACATGATAATCGATTATCCAAAGATTCCCTGTCCAAAAATTTAAAATTCTATCCATTGGAGGACAACGGTAACCCAGATAATCGATTGTCAACAAGTGATAATCGATTATTGGTCCTCTCTGAAGATTCTGGGTTTTGGCTGTAAAGGCTGATAATCGATTATTGCAAAGCTGATAATCGATTATTGCGTGCTTCAGAACTTGGAAGTTCAAAGCTGCAGTGGCTGATAGTCGATTGTCACTAAGGTGATAATCGATTATCACCCA